TTTGTACAATTATGTGCTGCGGATCAGTGCATATGAGCACCTGGCATGTGTAAATGCCTTTGCACAAACAGGATATCGATTTGTTTATGTGTGAACGTATGGTATGCATAAGAAGTCTGTACATGGGTCAGGCTGTGCGTGCATTTTTCTCCGAGCGATTGGAGGTGGCCCCTCTCTCTAGAGATTACCTCTCCAGGCACCAAATGGCCAAAGAATGTTAAACCTTTTAAAGACATAAACTTCTTAGTGACCCCAATCCCAGCACCCAGACGGTGTCCGTACAGAGCAGCCAGCAACCTTTGTGGGGAGAAAACACCGCTTGTGGGGTGAGCAATGCAACTGTCACTCTTCCCTGCAGAAAATAAATCCTGTTGGCTATACATGGTATTAAGCAGTCGCATCCCAAAAGGAAGAGAGATGTTCTGGAGCTTGAGTAAAAACATATACACCATATACATATAGAAACATCTATGTATATAAGTTCCAGAAACTGCCTGTGAGTGTGTCTACCAGCATGGTTACCACATCCAAATATAGAATCATAGAATCATAGAGTTGGAAGAGACCTCATGGGCCATCCAGTCCAACCCCCTGCCAAGAAGCCAAGGAAAATTGCATTCAAAGCACCCCCAACAGATGGCCATCCAGCCTCCTTCCAAAGAAGGAGCCTCCACCACACTCCGGGGCAGAGAGTTCCACTGCTGAACGGCTCTCACAGTCAGGAAGTTCTTCCTAATATTCAGATGGAATCTCTATGAGATTTGAGAATTGCAATCCAAAATACAAGAATGCCATGCTCTAATCTAGACACTTTGGTTATTGGGTTTTCCAGGCTGTATGGCCATGTTCCAGAAGCATTCTCTCCTGACATTTTGCCCACATCCGTATGAAAGTGAAAACGTGGCTCTGCGACCAAGCCTTTCGAGAACTCATGGAATAGATAGATATGGAATGATATGCAATGACTATTGGAATGGTCCGGATTATGCTTGAGGATTGCGCGATTAATTGTGAAGATATTGTCTACTTAAATGTTTATTTTAAGTGTACATTATTTTATGGCATCAAATAGTTGCCTATGTGTAAGCCGCCTTGAGTTCCCTCCAGGGCAGAGAAAGGCAGGGTGGAAATGTTGTACATAAACAAATAAATAAATCTAAGGCAAGGATCCTCAGAGGTGGGCAAAACGTCAGGAAAGAATGTTTCTGGAACATGGCCATACAACCCAGAAAACTCACAGCAACCCAGTGATTCCGGCCATGAAAGCCTTCGATGGCACTTTGGTTATTCCTAGTGGTTACAACTGAAGAATCTGAGGCATTTCTGCTTCCAATCTTAATTGACAATCCTTCCCTGCTTCTTGACAGGGGGTTGGACTGGATGGCCCATGAGGTCTCTTCCAACTCTATGATTCTGTGATTCTATCCTTATGTTTAGCACTTTATGAATAAAGCACTCAAATACGAGTTACAAGCATCTGACTTACAAACGACTCATAGTTAAGAACGAGGGTAACAACAGAAAGTAAGTGAAATCTACTCTTAGGAAGGGAAATCCACTCCTGGAAGAGTTATTATCGGGGGGAAAGGCATCTCCACTGAAGCTTTCTCATCAATCCTTGTTTCCACAACAAGCCAAATTTTTCAAAATCCAATTATTACAAGGACAGAAAGTGAAGTGAAATCTTATGAACAGGGGCACAGACAGCAATACAAACACCACAGGGTTATTAGCCCTTCTCTACGCTAGCCAAAGCTTGTATTTATTTGGCTGGAGTTATACTTAAAAATGTATCTGTTCCAACATACATACACATTCAACGTAAGATCGTAACTTGGAGACTGCCTGTACTCTCCATGTTCAGAATTTGGCTAGCACTGATGGAGAGACTATACCCAGCTATTTCATCAGACGATGGCCCAACCCTGAAATGAGTCAGAGAGAAGCAGTCTCCTTAGGCAACTAATTCTGGGGGTCATGACAAGGCTGCAAATCGTTGGTTTAATTTATTACTGCTGGATTTTTACTGTTACGCAGAAGGAAAGGAGGCAGTGCCCTAGGCGCCAAATTAACCCAACTGGTCTTAGGTATTATTCATTTTGGTTTAGGGTGTGGAAGAATGATTTGCTCCTTAATCTCAAGCAGCCAAGTGTCTCACCAGACATGTCTAGGCCCTGATCAGGCCCAGCCGTCAATATCCTCCACCGGAGAACATTAAAAAAAATCTCCACTGCCAAACATTTCTTTTCCTGACATTTTTGCTTCAAGATCCCACAAATCTGTTTTTTCAGTGCCATATAAAAACAGTCCCTCCCAATGATTATTTGTTCTGAAAAATTACAACATATGCTGGCCAGGTTGTTATATCTTGCATCTACCTATTGTACTTGGCTAAAGAGCTGAAAGATGTATTTCCACAAGATTCAAACATGAGCTTACCTATTCATGCATATAAAATGTGATTATTTGCCTCTTGATGCTTCCCAGACAAATGTGCAAATGGCACTCTATATAAAAGCTGTTGTTGGGTGACATAAATATACCAACTGTGATGACTCAGCTAGGATCGCTTATTTGCATGCGCAAACCATGCACTAGGTCCAATGTCAGTCCTTCCTGAGTCGCAACTAATTTAGATCCCATTCATTTTAAGACATCTATTTTAGGATTTAGTCTCATCTCTTCATGCTTTGCTCAGTAACTATTGAACATCTATCCGTGCCCACATTGACAGAAATACAAGGTGTCTGCCAAAATGATACCTCCATCAAAAGATCCCCCCTCCCTCCGCTACAATATATAGCAATACAGTAGAGTCTCGCTTATCCTTCTCTCATCCAACGTTCTGTATTATCCAACGCAGGCTGCCTCCCGCCTGGATCCACTGCTATTTCAATACATTGCGATGTTTTGGTGCTAAATTCATAAATATAGTAATTATTACATAACATTAGCATGTATTGAACTGCTTTTTCTGTTGATTTGTTGTAAAACATGATGTTTTGGTGCTTAATTTGTAAAATAATAACATAATTTGACTTTTAATGGACTTTTCTTTAATCCCTCCTTATTATCCAACATTTTTGCTTATCCAATGTTCTGCCAGCCCGTTTATGTTGGATAAGCGAGACTCTACTGTACTTCTTTTAGGCTATTATGTCATAGTGTTATATACTTACCTGTCTCTGTTTCATATAATTTGCTTCCTTGGGAAAAACCCAAAGGGTAAGTAATTTTGAATGGAGAACTTAGAATAATTATTGTATATTGAAGAAATTCTGGGGGATTCTGGGAGCAGTAATTGAGAAAGATAATTTTCCCAGCCTCTATCTACATGTTACAAGGGAAACAGTTAAAGTAGCACCAGGGTATTAATTTTATTGGTGGCAGCATCCAAGCAAGGGATGGTCAGTTGTGTGAAACTAGAGGCCTGCATTAGTCCTCTAGAAGACCTTGGGGGGCTGTATTTCTCCCACCAGACCCCTGCTACATTTAAATAAATATGTATGAAATGTATGTATGTATGTATGCATGTTTGAGTGTATGCTAAAATACTTGCGAATTCCACAAGTTTCGTTGCCATGTTTTAGCCTCCTCTTCCCGACCCAACGATTTTAGATGCAGGAAAGGCAATGTTAACAACAGGACATTAGTTGAAAGTCACTTCATATTACTTTAAGTTTTAACTAAGGCCTCTGAAAGACCTAAAATGGCCCAAGGAAGCCCAAAATGTGTGAAAATACTCCCATATCCCCAAAAGGCATTTGTGGCAAATGGAACCCCTGGTGCAATGGGTTAAACCCTTGTGTCGGTTGAATTGCTGACCAAAAGGTCAGTGGTTCGAATCTGGAGAGTGGAGTGAGCTCCCATCTGTCAGCTACAGCTTCCCATGCAGGGGCATGAGATAAGCCCAGAGGATGGTAAAACATTCAGGCATCCCCTGGGCAACGTCCTTACAGATGGCCAATTCTCTCACACCAGAAGTGACTTGCAGTTTCTCAAGTCACTCCTGACATGGAAAAAAAATATGGAAAATGTCTTGAGGTCACAAAAAAACAGTCCTAAGCCTGCAGTTCATCCATCCCAGGAAAAAAATTCAGTAACAAGTAATGCAAGGAAGTCCCACACTGAGTCACACCACTACCCCATCTAGCTCAGGACAGCTCTCCAAGGTTTCAGAAAAACATCTTTCCCAAATTGATTGGTATAAATAGTACAAATCGGACAGGGGAATTTTTGTAACCCAAGCGTATGCTATACCACTGAACCATTATCTTCCCTTCCTTTCTATATATTTATTGAATGAGTATCTACTACAGCAAGGATAAGCAAACTCTGGCCCTCCAGGTGTTTTGGAATTAAACTCCGAACAGCCGGTAAGATGGCTAGGATTTCTGGGAGTTGAAGTCCAAAACACCTAGAGGGCTGAAGTTTGCCCATGCCTGTACTACAGAGATGGAAAACTTGTGGCTATCCAGATATTGTTGCACTGCAGTTCTGTTCATTCACTGGCTTTATTGGCTTGCACTTCAACAAAATGTAGTTCAACAGCAGTTTGAAGGTCCTATGCTGCCCATCCCTCATCTACCAGAGAGATACAGATGAAGAATATGGAGATTCCCCAGTCCTATCAAAGACTGGTATAAGAAAGAAGAGGAATACAGCTCAATGCTTGTCCACGGGCTTTATTCCATGTATATCCAGGACCCTGTTTTCAGCCCGGGTAGATGGCACTGTGCTAGACATATCCTTTGTCCAACCCTGCTTTGCCTGTTATCACTACATCTTCTAAATAAGCTCACCCAGTTTATAGAGGGAGCGCCTGGTTGTTCCATCTCCGGCCCTAAAAGCCTGTCCTGGAATTCCACACATCCGGCTTCTGGCAGGACGTGACACTCTTCCCTGGGGGAGTGTGCAATGTTCCCATTGTTTGCTTAAGCATTTCCCCTCATGGGGTATGATCTGACCTCACTCTTCCATGCCTCCACAAACAATCTTACCTGCACCTCCCGATCACCATATTTCTGTGGGTTTTTGCTGTTCTGGCATTTTTTGCGTAGTTTCTTCAGCTCCGTCTGGCATTTCTCAATGGAATCTGCTTTGGAACGGTGTTCACCTTGGTATTTCTTCAGAGTGGCCTACAATGTGGGGAATGGGTAAGGAAGAGGTAGCAGATAGCATGACCAGCTCTAGATAATGAAAAAGGATCTTCTATGGTAGGAATAAAGAACCTTTGACATCTAGATGTTTTGACCATCTTCTCCCAGAATGTTAGCCGCATGGCCAGGGATAATAAAGAATGATGGCAGTTGTAGACCAAAACATATGAAAAGCAAAAGTTTTCCCTTTCTTGCTCTATGGATCCTCTTTGTCTAGTTCCATATAAAAACACAGACTTTGCTGGAACTCTAGACAATTTTGGGATCTTCCTCAGTGAGCAAGGAGATGGACAAATGTACTCCACTTAGGCAGAAAAAAATGAAGTGCTAAGATACAGAATAGGGGATGCCTGGCTCAATAGTAGTACGTGTGAAAAAGATCTTGGAGTCCTCGTGGACAACAAGTTAAACGTCAGCCAACAATGTTATGCGGCAGCTAAAAAAGCCAATGGGATTATGGCCTGCATAAATAGGAGTCTAGTGTCTAGATCCAGGAAAGTAATGCTAACCCTATATTCTGCCTTGGTCAGACCACACCTGGAATCACACTGTGTCCAGTTCTGGGCACCGCAATTTAAGGGAGATGTTGACAAGCTGGAATGTGTCCAGAGGAGGGTGACTAAAATAATCAAAGCCCTATGAGGAGTGGCTTAAAGAGCTGGGCATGTTTAATTATGACTATAATAATTATATAATAACTATGAGAGCTGTTCAGCAGCAGAATTTTCTGCCCCAGACTGTGGTGGAGGCTCCTTCTTTGGAGGCTTTTAAACAGAGGCTGGATGGCCATCTGTTGGGGGTGCTTTGAATGTGATTTTCCTGCTTCTTGGTAGGGGGTTGGACTGGATGGCCCATGAGGTCTCTTCCAACTCTATGATTCTATGATGCTATTATTCTCGTATGCTTCTGCAAAGGTGTTTAGAGTGGCTTGTAGGCTTGAAATACTTGGGACCATCAGTGTATTGGATTTAGTAGGATATTGGCATAGCTGTAAAAGGGTATACCAACATAATGAGCTATCTTAGAAATAGAATCCAAATCTTAACACAAGAGTCATTCATGCTTCAAATACTGTAAACCTTATACATCTATGTAATTACCTGAAGGTAATTCTATACATAATAATGGTGTGCATGAAACAAAATTTATGTCCAGCAGAAAACAAAAGTGTCACAATTCAGCCACCCATGTAGACAGTTTTGAAGTATTGGGGGTTTTGGACTTCCAGATAAGGGATACTGAAGCTGTAATAGATAATCTGCATTTTCTTGGTGAATTTTGGTTGCCTTTCGTCAAACCATAATCCTATCTCCTTGAGGGAAGCTGTTGTGGATATGTGTTTGTTTGGCTTTTTTACATGGTCCCATATCTTCATTTAGAGCAGTGGTTCTCAACCTGTGGGTCCCCAGATGTTTTAGCCTTCAACTCCCAGAAATCCGAACAGCTGGTGAACTGGCTGGAAGCCAAACCACTTAGGGACCCACAGGTTGAGAACCACTGATTTAGTATGTTGCCACAAAAGTACCCAGCTGCCATCCCCCCCCCTTTTTTTTTTTGCATCCCAAATGAAGCAGGAAGAAGGGGGTCACAAGAATGTGGAGGATGGACAGAGGATGACATCATGAAGGAAAAGTAGGCTTTTGTCTCCTCTATTTGCTCAGAGATTCTGATTTTCCTTCAGCATCATCTTTCTTTTGGGAGATTGTTGTGAAAGAAAAAAATAAGATTACAGGGACATTACTCATCATTCAAGCTGGAAAAAAAGTCTTAACCAAGTCTTATGTCTCTCATTGCTGCACTCAAGTGTGAATCCTGCCTCTTGATTCTGGGTATAATTTGGATATCTTTCAAAACGGATAGTGAAAAGGAATCAAAATGAAAATAAAACAGACATGGAAGCAGTTTTAAATAAATAAAACAGGTTCCAGAGCAAATGCTTCTACCAAAGTCACACTATTTGGTCTTGGATTTTTTTTTTTAGTGTGGCAGCAGGGTTATAATTTTCTGGCGAGGGAAAGGTACTCTGAACACACTCAGAAGTAATTATCTTCACATTTTACAGAGAAAACCTTTACATCATGAAAAATTTAGCTTTGTGCATAATACTGCATAGGGAGAATGAGGAGAAAATGAGACAGATGAACATGCACGGCAAAACACAGAAAGAGAAATTTGATGTGATAGAGAAGTCCGGATTAATTATTTGCTCACCATGAGATATTTGATATCCAATTCCAGTTTGTGTTCCAATTGGGACAACAACTCCGAGTGGAAAAGCTTCAGCTGGGACCAGGTGACAGAAAAAGCAAGAAGGGAAAGGATGAGAACCCAGAAAATGGAGGCTGGTGCCAAAGCCTCCCTCTCATTGCTTGGTGAAACTGATAACGGCTGTGGTGTATGGCACGATATTAGGGAAGGTGGGCTTGAAATTCTGATCTATGGCAGCAAAGGGGAAGAAAATCATAGGTCTCAACCTGGAAGTCAGAACCCCGGGGGGGGGGGGGTCACAAGGGGTTTTTAGAGGGGTCACCAAAGACAATCAGAAAACATATATTTCTGATGGTCTTAGGAACCCCTTTGGCAGAGAAGGCTGAAGATCTCTCCGCCTGTCCTTCCCTTTCTTTTTGGAAACAGATGGCAAATCCTCCCACCTCTCAGCCAAGGGGTAGGCTGTTTCTGAGACTCCTAGCAGGAAGGGGAGAGCAAGCATGCTTGGCACATGGTGGCATGGTGCTCATGTGCAAATGAGGGAAAGCATGTGGGTTTGGAAGGAGGCTCACACCAGTGAATCCCTTTAAGCAGGCATGTAGCCGGGGGGGGGGGGCTGGAGGGGCTTCAGCCCCCCCCCCGAAATTCTCATGGTGGTTCGCGAAAAGGCCTTACTGGTGCATTATTTAAACTGTTATGTTTATTCATATCATGATCTGATCACCACTCAATATATCCCATATGCATGGGGGTATTGGGGTAATGATACAAAAGGTTTGCTAGGGTAGACCCTCTTTCACTCAGACTCAGCCCCCCCCCCCAACCAAGCTCAGCCCCCCCCCCCCTCCGAATCAAAATCCTGGCTAGGGGCCTGCCTTCAAGGCATGGAGGAGGGGGGTCGGTCTGTGTGGGAAGTTTCATCCAATTCTATCATTGGTGGGGTTCAGAAATGCTCTTTGATTGTAGATAAACTATAAATCCCAGCAACTACAACTCCCAAATATCAAGGTCTATTTCCATCAAACTCCACCAGAGTCCACATTTGGCCATGTTGAGTATTTATGCCAGGTTTGGTCCAGATCTATCATTATTTGAGTCCAGTGCTCTCTGGATGTAGGTGAACGACAACTTCAAAACTCAAGGTCAATGCCCAACAAACCCTTCCAGTATTTTCTATTGGTCATGGGAGTTTTGTGTGCCAAGTTCGGTTAGTAGAGTTCAGAATGCTCTTTGATTGTAGGTTAACTATAAATCCCAGTAACTACAACTCCCAAGTGACAAAATCAATCCCCTCAACCCCACCATTATTCAAATTTGGGCGTATTGGGTATTTCTGCCAAATTTGATCCAGTGAATGAAAATAAATCCTGCATATCAGATATTTACATTACAATTCATAACAGGAGCAAAATAACAGTTATGAAGTAGCAATGAAAATAATTTTATGGTTGGGGGTCACCACAACATGAGGAACTGTATTAAGGGGTCACGGCATTAGGAAGGTTGAGAAACACTGATCTAAAGCGCCTCATTTGTCTAATCTAGGTAGACCTAACAGCAGGTTTAATTGATCCTTTATTTACAAATACTCACCGTCTCCTCCAGCTGTACTTGGATCTGCCGGTGGACCTCAGCCATCTGGAACAATGTGTCACCTGCAGACCAAGGTGACTGAAGGTTAAAACATCTGAAACACTCCCTGGCCTATGAAAAGGTCTTTTGTCCCCCTAACCCCCCCCCCCCCCCGACTTTGTCTGTCCCATGGTAATCTTCTTTTGGGTTAATTCCTTTCCCCTGGAATTGTCCAAGGAATCCCAAACAGCTTTTAATTAGAAAGAACATTCTTGCCATACCCAGATAGGGAAGAAGGACTCCCAACCTGTATAGAAATTTGGGTGAAACCGTGTGGCTTCTGTCTTGGAGATGCAACAGACAATTAACACATGTTGCTGTGGTTAGGTTGATGTAACATATGGAGATCATACATATAAAAAATTCTTACCAAAAGAAAGGACAATTCAAACAGCAAGAATCCATGCTAACAGCCTTATAACGTGGATGAAGAAACTTTTCTCTTCCAGATATTTGACACTACTTTCCCCATAATCTCTTATACTACTGGCCATGCTACTTGGGGTTTGTCCACAATATCTGAGCCCCCTTCCACACTGCTGAATACAACCCCACATTATCTGCTTTGAACTGGAATATATGGCAGTGTGGACTCAGATATTCCAGTTCAAAGCAGATATTGTAGGTTATTCTGCCTTGATAAGTAAAGGTAAAGTTTTTCCCTTGACATTAAGTCCAGTTGTCTCCAACTCTGCGGGTTGGTGCTCATCTCAATTTCTAAGCCAAAGAGCCAGCATTGTCCGTAGACACCTACAAGGTCATGTGGCCAGCATGACTGCATGGAGTGCCATTACCTTCCTACTGGAGCTGTAACTATTGATTTACTCACATTTGCATGTTTTCGAACTGCTAGGTTGGCAGAAGCTGAGGCTAACAGCGGGAGCTCACACTGCTCCCCAAATTTGAACCTGTGACCTTTCGATCAGCAAGTTCAGCAGCTCAGCGCTTTAACCCACTGCACCACTGGAGGATCCTTATATGCCTTGATATTCTGGGTTATATGACAGTGTGGAAGGTCCCTGAATGACCAAAAGCTTTCTCCTCTCCCATGTTAAAAATATGTTTATCTAGCAAACATTTCTCCTATCTTTTGGTTACAGGAGCCTCTAAAACAGATTACAATATAGTTAAAGCCAATTTAGAGAATGAAACCACATTTTAAAAAACCTGTGGGAATAAAGTGATTAAAAAAAGATCTTGAAATAATTTAGAATTGCAAACAAAGAAAAACATAACACAATTCAAAGAGTTGGTTGCATAGACATATCTTGATTACTTGCCTAAAGGAGATTTAAGAGCAGCCACCATGGATACATTCACTTATTAGTGCTATAAGCATTATAGTAAACATTGCAGACTGGGCACTGATGAATGAACTTCTAACGTAGTGGTGGAGAGCCTTAAACCTCACCTACACTGTTATATAAAATCCAGATTATCTGCTTTGATAATCTGGATTACATGGCAGTGTAGATCCAGCCTTAGTTATGTTACAAGGAAGTATTTTATGACAGGTAGAACTTAGAAAACCCTGTGATAAGTTTGCCTTAGGGTTGCCATAAATTGCAAACCACTTGATGACACATAATAAAACTGTGGCAGGGGGAAGTCACAAGCTAGTTTAGGCAGGCAGGACATTCATTTGATCTCTCTTCCTTCCTTCCTTCTTTCTTTCCTTCCTCTCTCCCTTCCCTCCTCGAAATATTGTTTTTATTACAATGACCAGACTCTCTCATCTGACAAAACCACAAGCTATGCTGTTTATGGAATTCTGGGTAGTCCACACAGCTGTATAAAATGCACATTGAATAGGATTATATGGTAGAGTGGACTTAGATAATCCATTTCAAAGCAGATATTGTGGATTATCTGCCTCAATATTCTGGGTTATATGGCTGTGTGGAGGGGTCCTTAGAAAGAAGTAAGTTTTTCAAAGTGTTGCATGTCCTTAGAGTGGGCTGCCAAGGGAGAGGCAGATTAGTTTGCCAAAAACCTATACTGATCTCTAGCAGAGGCTTATAGAATTAGGTTAGCCATTCCTAAACTAAAGCCTCCAAGCATTGGGGAATGAAGCAGCAAAGGGGACTATACAACTTCAGAATGTGAGTGATTAATTATTTTTGCTCCCCTACATAAAAGGCCCTCCATAAATAAAAACAAAATGCAATTTGGAACACAGTGCTCTACACAACTTATTATTTCCTGACCTAAAATCTCTTTTTGCCTGCCATTATTTATTTTATATTATTTTTGCTTTTACATGGAGTAGCATCCAAAAATTGGTTCCCCCTAGAAACATTTTGTAATGGTACAATCCACATGGTTCTTATCACCTCATTCCGCTGCATGAGTAGTTGATCAATAGTATCATGGACCACTTTTAATAACTGGATCTACGATTTAAAGGCACATTTGCCGTTTTGGAGTGAATCCTCATTCTAGTAACATAGACCAATAAAAGTTGGAGACGGTGAACCTGTGAATTTCAGAGTTTCCTTGAATGTAACTTTTTTGTAATTTCTTTTTTTGTAACTTCTAAAATCAATTTGAGTTTGGAATATAACATATATCAACAATCATGATTTTCTTCTGACAATAGGAAGTAACTTATTGTTGTTTTTATTCATTCAGTCGCTTCTGACTCTTTGTGACCTCATGGACCAGCTCACGCCAGAGCTCCCTGTTGGCCTTCACCATCCCTAGCTCCTTTAAGGTCAAGGCAGTCACTTCAAGGATACCATCCATCCATCTTGCCCTTGGTCGGCCTCATTATCTTCTCCAAACTTTACCATCTTCTCATTATGTGGCCAAAGTACTTCATCTTTGTATTGTCGAAAGCTTTCATGGCTGGAATCACTAGGTTCTTGTGGGTTTTTTCGGGCTATAGAGCCATGTTCTAGAGGCATTTCTCCTGACGTTTCGCCTGCATCTATGGCAAGCTTCCTCAGAGGTAGTGAGGACCTCACTACCTCTGAGGAAGCTTGCCATAGATGCAGGCGAAACGTCAGGAGAAATGCCTCTAGAACATGGCTCTATAGCCTGAAAAAACCCACAAGAACCTACTTCATCTTTGCCTGTAATACCCTTCATTCCAGTGAGCAGTCGGGCATTATTTCCTGGAGTATGGACTGGTTGGATCTTCTCATGGTCTAAGGCACTCTCAGCATTTTCCTCCAACACCACAGTTCAAAAGTGTCTATCTTCCCTCACTCAGCCTTCCTTATAGTCCAGCTCTCGCAGCCATAGGTTGCTACAGGGAATACCATTGCTTTACCTATGCGGATTTTCATTGTCAGTTTAATGTCTCTACTCTTCACCATTTTATCAAAATTGGTCCTTGCTCTCCTTCCAAGAAGTAAATGTCTTCTGATTTCCTGGTTGGAGTCTGCTTCTGCAGTCATCTTTGTGCCTAGACATCCAAAGTCTGTCACTGCCTCCATGTTTTCTCCCTCTATTTGCCAGTTATCAATCAATCTGGTTGCCATAATCTTGGTTTTGTTTTGTTTTTGCCCAGCATTTTAAAATTTTTAATTCTTACATTTGGCCCTGCCACAGGTTTTTAAATATGTGTCTTGTTGTTATTGTATTGTTTTTGCTTTTATGAGTTATTTATTGTTGTTTTGTTGTTGTTATGTTTTATGATGTGTTTGGACTTGGCCTCTTGTAAGCCGCACTGAGTCCTGCGGGAGATGGTAGCGGGGTATAAATAAAGGTTTATTATTATTATTATTATTATTATTATTATTATTATTATTATTTAACTTCAACCCAGCTTTTGCACTTTCTTCTTGGTTAGAAGGCTCCTCGGCTCCTCCTTGCTTTCAGCCATCAAAGTGGTATCATCTGCATCTCTAAGGTTGTTAATGTTTCTTCCGGCAATTTTAACTCCAGACTTGGATTCATCAAGCCTTGCATGTTGCATGATGTGTTCTGCATACAAGTTGAATAGGTAGGGTGAGAGTATACAGCCCTGTCGTACTCCTTTCCCAATACTGAATCAATCCGCTGTTCCATGGTCAATTCTTACTGTTGGCACTTGGTCATTATACAGATTCCTCAGGAGTCGGACAAGGTGGCTTGATATCCTCATACCACCAAGAACTTGCCATAATTTATTATGATCCACACTGTCGAAGGCTTTAGAATAGTAACAGTAACTTAAACTTTAAAAATCTCAAGTTGATTGAATATTTCAAGAAGTATCTTGCAATGCATTTATTTACATATAACTGATTAACAAGATGATGTCTAATAAACTAAAATATCTTTAATAATTCGACAACCCTAATTATAACAGAGACCATTTACTGGTTCTGCTAGAGAAACTTCAAATTCAATCTAATTAAAACAAATTACATAATCATAATCAAATGATAGAGCTATCTTTGATAATATAATGTTGGGCTACAAGTAAGGGAGTGCTGAATGATCGCCCACTAAACCTGTATGTGCAAAAATACATGCAGATTAGAAGATTAGCCTGAATCCTTCTCCTAGGCATATATTTTCCTCCTAATATAAAAGGATTTTTTTTTTCCTTATGAGAAAGGATTCAACCATGCACACCTGCAACCTCAAACTGTACAGCTCAAAAAAACAATTTTACAACTTGGCTCTGCTGGATCTATAAACTGAGAAAGAGAAAGGAAGGGGGTGAACAAGAGTAGCAAGTCATATGAGTATTACTGCGCAAGTAGTGTCTGTCCACATGACTGACCAATTCCAAAGGAATCCAAGCAGAATCTGTGTCAGACCCATTATGCTTTTGTGGTTATGTGAAATTCAGACTCTCTCACCTGCCTCTTATAAAAGTTTTCATGCAGTTTTCTTCCTCCAAATATGTATTTGCATTCAACGTTTTTCTAAAGTTGGGGCTGAGAATGTGGGTTTGTCAGATATTGCTAGAGATAGCAACTCTCATCTGCCTTATAAACATGGTCAATGTGAGGGACAATGGCAATTATTGTTCAGGAATCTCAGTATTGAGGACCATAATGTCTCTTAGGTAAATTCTTTTGGAAATAGCAACTTTCTTCAAACCTCCACTAGTTATTTGTTATGTATATAGTTGCTTACTGTATTGTAAATGTGAATATTGGATTGCAGTTTTTCTTTAACTCTTTGGTTTGGGAGGGGCTACAGAACATGTGATCAGAACTGGGCTTGTTCAGGACTCAGACTCTCTTTTAGAAACAGTTTGCTTTCAGACACCAGCAGGAACTGTTTGCTTCAGACTTCAATTGTAACTGTATGCTTTAGACTTCAGTAGAAACTGAATGTTTAGAAACTCTATTAGACTCTCAAAACCGAGAGATGCTTTAGATTATGGACTGTTGATTCTAAGAATGATGCCCTGTGTCACAATATCTACACAGAGAAACTACTTCAAATCTATTTATAACTAGATTGATATACAAAGGACTTGTATGATGAATACATGAAGTTGAACACATGAAGTTTGTGAGTAAACCAACTACGTTACTTTTAAAGAAGTCTGCTTTCTTTTTTCTCTAGAGAGCATGATTTTAAGACAAATCTATTTTAAGAGAGAGTAGATGTTTTTGAACAACTTCAAATAATACTTCTGAAACTCTGCTATAAATGTTTTGTGCATTGGCATATTTTTGTCCTAAACAGTTAAAAGACATATTTGGACCGGGCTGTAGCGCAGCTAGTTAGTAGCCAGCTGCATTATATCACTACTGATTGAGAGGTCATGAGTTCGAAGCCAGTTCGGGTAAGAGTAAACTCCTGACCATCAATAGTCTAGCTTGCTGTTGACCTATGCAGCCCAAAAGACAGTTGCATCTGTCAAGTAGGAAATTTAGCTATTGCTTTATGCGGGGAGACTAATTTACGACACTATAAAACCTTCCAGCAGCATGCATAAGAATGAGGAAGTACTTCATCAAGGACTCGGTGTCACAAGTGGATGGTGAAGTGGCAGCTCCCCCTGTGGCCGGAATTGAGCATACCCTCATGAAGCCGGAAAGCTGGAATATTAAATTGCCTCTGTATCTGTCTATATATGTTGCATGTCTATGGCATTGAATGTTTGCAATGTATATGTGCATTGTAATCCACCCTGAGTCCCCTGCGAGGTGAGAAGGGCGGAAAATGTTTTAGTATTTATTTAAAACATTTATATTCTGCCCTTCTCACCCCGCAGGGTGAAGCACAACATATATACGGCAAACATTCAATGCCGGGACATAAAACCATAAATATATACAAACATTAAAATCACTTATATTCACATTAAAAGTTGCTTTAAAACCATCTCAGGAATATAAATACTACAGTATTTAAATAGGAATAAAAAGGGTATCAGTTTAACAGCTGAGAAACCTAACTGCCTTGCATGAATGCCATTTTCCCAAAAGGTTATGATTCTTAACAGATCATGCTTTTACCAAGAGGTTATGGCATCATTTTTCAAAAGGTTATGACTTCTAACAAGATCATGCCTTTGCAAAGATCATAAAATTTCCAAAAAGTTATGGAGATTTAATTTTTAAAAAATAGTGATAAGTTAGTAAGGCTCTAACAGAGTGTTTCTCAACCTGGGGGTCGGGACCCCTGGGGGGGGTCGTGAGGGGGGTGTCAGAGGGGTCATTAAAGACCATCAGAAAACACAATGTTTTCTATTGGTCATGGGTGTTCTGTGTGGGAAGTTTGGTCCAATTCTATCGTTGGTGGGATTCAGAATGCTCTTTGATTACAGGTGAACAATAAATCTCAGCAACTACAACTCCCAAATGTCAAGGTCTCTTTTCCCCAAACTCAACCAATGTTCACATTTGGGTATATTGAATATTTGTGCCAAGTTTGGTCCAGATCCATAATTGCTTGAGTGCACAGGGCTCTCTGGATGTAGGTGAACTACAACTCCCAAATGTCATAGACTATTTTTCCCAAACTCCACCAGTGTTCACATTTGGGCATATTAAGTATTTGTGCCAAGTTTGGTCCAGATCCATTGTTTGAGTCCACAGTGCTCTTTGGATGTAGGTGAACTACAAATCCAAAAACTCAAGGTCAATGTCTACCAAACCCTTCCAGTATTTCCTGTTGGTTAGGGGACTTCTGTGTACCAAGTTTGGTCCAGTTCCATTGTTGGTGAGAATCAGAATGCTCTTTGACTGTAAGTTAACTACAAATCCCAGTGTCTACAACTCCCAAATGACAAAATCAATCCCTTCAACCCCATCACTATTCAAATTTGGATGTATGAGGTATTTGTGCCAAATTTCGTCCAGTGAATGGAAATATATCCTGCATATCATATATTTACATTAAGATTCATAAGTCACAAAATAACAGTTATGAAGTAGCAACAAAAATAATTTCATGGTTGGGGATCACCACAACATGGGGAACTATATTAAGGGGTCACAGCATTAGGAAGGTTGAGAACCACTGTTCTAACATTTCACAGATGAAAGTTGGGATCTCCGTGGCTGAAGAACACAAGACTGTAGTCAAGAGGACAAAATGAAGAAGTATACATAAGCAGTTAGCTTTTGCCTCAACCTACTGGGAAGGACAAGATTTTTCCCTCCCCTACTCATCACCTTGCTGTGTTGAGTACAAAGTACTTTTACGCTTCAGACTCAGTTTGCAGCAAATGACAAAAGGAGGGAGGAGGAGAGAGACTGGGATATTTCAAAAGCAACTGAAAAGTAGGCTGGCAGGGGGTTAATCCAGATTTTCCCTGCCAAAGTGGAGTGTATAAGTAGGTCCCTGCATACTTAAGTGTGCAAGATAGTAAATCAATAAACCTACCCAGCTCCTTGGACCCTTGACTGTCGCTGGCCAACTCGCCAAGTTTCACCAAGGCATCGAAATAACCCTTGGCAGCCACTGTAACTCCTGGAAAAAATGGGATGGGGTGGAGGAACAGAGCACTGAATAATTAATACTCAACACAAATGCCATAGTGACCCTTCCCTGCTAGGAAACACCAAATTTCACTTGGTCTAAAACTGGTTTGAGGTACTCCATTACCTGAGAGTGCCTTCTGATAGTTTTTCCCCATAGTAACAAAATTCCTCAGACTGGGATTGAATTGGTCCAGGATTGCCTGGTTACAAGGGAGAAGAAAAATAAATAAATGACGCAGATTTATCTGGCACGATTTAGTCAAAGTTAAGCACTTTAGCATCACAGAGAGAGAGATTTTGAGGTTAGGTTCGACTTATCCAACAAAAACCATTGGAATCAAATAAAAGGACACAAGCTTGGACTGGATTTTCTCCCATTACTCTGCTGTCAACTTCTGCCACAATTCTGTCTGTGTTGTCTGCAGCCAAAGTTTCTTTTTCTGGTTTGTTTTAAAGGAGGATGGGATAATTTATTTAAGAGAAAACGAGACAAGTGGAAAAAGCGTAGACAGACACATTGATAAACAAGTTGTGGAATGTAAAAGGGATAAATTATCTGTTTTGGGGAGAGGAACAGTAAAGGAAGTGGGGAATAAAGAGTATCTACACAACACAGAGAGCCAACATGTTGTAGCGGTTTGAATGTTGGGCTAGGACATTGGGAGAATAGGTTTTGAATCCCACTCGGCCGTGGAAACCCACTGGGCGACCTTAGGCAGGTCACACTCTCTCATCCTCAAAGGAAGGTAAAAGCAACCCCCCTCTGAAAAAATTTAGCCATGAAAACCCATGATAGGATCACCTTAACTTAGCAATACGTCAGAAATGGCTTTATTTATTTATTTATCATGTCAGAAGCGAATTGAGAATACAGTTATAATGTATAGAAAAACCACAAACAAAGTTGAAAACTTGGCATTATACTAAATGTCCTTTGACCAAAAGTTGGCCACTTCGAGTGCCTATGGTGTCGCTGTAAAAAGGTCCTCCATTGTGCATGTGGCAGGGCTCAGACTGCATTGTAGTAAGTGGTATGTGGTTTGCTCTTCTTCACACTCGCATGTTGTGGACTCCACTTTGTGGCCCCATTTCTTAATCTTGGCTTTGCATCTCATCATGCCAGAGCACTGTCTGTTCATCGCCTTCCCAGTCACCCAGTCTTCCCAGTCACCGGGGGGGGGGGGGAGTTTCTCATCTGGTATCAGCCACTGATTGAGGGGATCCGGGTTTTAGCCTGCCACTTTTGGACTCTCACTTGCTGAGGTGTTCCTGTATCTCTTTGATCTAAGGAAGCTATTTCTTGAATGACTTAAAGGCAAACAACAACAGTTCTACTTGATGCCACTTGATTTGCCATAGCTCCATCCCATAGAATCCTGGGATTTGTAGTCTGGTGAAGAATGTGCCATATTGTATATCTAAATTCTAGAGAATATTTTGATAGACAGAAGTCAGTATCTCCGTTTTCCAGTTTTCAAAGTGAAGACCCCAGATAACTTTGGTTATTTTTAGTTTAGAAAGAGGAGTGACATTTATGGCATCTAGGTGATGAGGCAGTGTGAGAAGCCTAGTTTGCTTCAGGTTACCTAATCCACTGAGAATGGAGGAGAGATAGGAAGATAGGCCTTCCTACTTTTTAGCTACACATAACTATTTTTGGTACCTGGGGGAAGGTGAGAAAAATAGGTCTGATGCAATGAACTATACATAGATGAATATAGCAATGGTTCCCATGGGATGGGAATGGAGGGGAAAGTATTCAGGCAGGAAAAAGATATAGGAGAGTACAGGTAGACAGACAGACTAGAATGAGATGAAAAAGAAAATATGACAGAATGATAAGAAGAAACGGATTCTGTATGACATAAGAGTTGGCCAGGCCTATTACAGGAGAAAGCCAGCAAAACTGTATAGGCCCTAGTACACAGAGTGGAAATGCATCTCAATAAGTCTTGGTTTGTTGCTCATGCCATAAAGTACAGCAGACAACCAAATAAAGAGTTCAACATTTCTGTTTCATTTAGTACCTGATCGTTTTTGTCAGCTTCCATTCCAAAGGAATGGGGGAAATAAGCCAGTCGTGGGGTTCAATGCCATAATAAACCAAGGGTTAAACAAACTAGAGTTTGCAAATTAATAATAAACTACAAATTTGCCTCTGAACAAAGTATCGCTTGTTAGGTGAATTCACATGTTGCAGCAAGTCAGACTTCAACAAACCACACCATGGTTTGTATGGTGTGTAAACATAGTAAAGGTCTACACCAGGCATGGGCAAACTTCGACCCTCCAGGTGTTTTGGACTCCAGCTCCTACAATTCCTAACAGCCAGTAGGCTGTTAGGAATTGTGGGAGTTGAAGTCCAAAACACCTGGAGGGCCCAAGTTTGCCCATGCCTTGTGGGCTGGTCCATGAGGTCACGAAGAGACGGAAGTGACTGAACGAATAAACAACTACAAATCTCTTCTACATCCAGATTTCATCTGCCAGAAGAGATCTGACAGCTAAATGAGGTGCAGGAATTTAAAATGCAATTGAAGACCCTTCTTTTCCGGCAGGCCTACCCAGTCAAGTTTTGATTTGCATTCTATTACCACTATATGTCAATTCTGTAGCTGTGTTTGGTATAAGTTTTCATGTGTGTGTGTTTATCTATGAAATTTAGTAATTTATTATATTTTATGTACACTTGTTTTTGAATTTGTTGTACCCCACCTGAAGCCATCAGGACGTGGGTAATAAATAAAAGTTGTTGTTGTTGTTGTTGTTGTTGACAAAAAAGCACAGTATGTCACAGCAAACGAGATCTATATGCTGGATTTCATATCACAAAATCACAAGTCGAACACTTCCTAAGCATCTAGGACTGTGTGATGTATTTTCGAATGATGTGCGCTGATCTAAGTAAAGTGGCCTTTTGCAGTTGACAGATTGTGATTTTGTCGATGTTTATTGTTTCCAAATGCCAGCTGAGATCTTTGGGCACAGCACCCAGTGATGCAATGACCACTGGGACCACCTGTACTGGTTTATGCCAGAGCCTTTGCAGTTCGATTTTGAGGTCTTCATAGTGGCCGAGTTTTTCCTGTTGTTTTTCTTCAATGAGACTGTCACCTGCTATGGCGACATCAATAATCCAGACTTTTCTCTTTTCCATAATCGTGATGTCTGGTGTATTGTGTTCCAAAACTTTGTCAGTCTGGATTCGAAAGTCCCACAGTATTTTTGCATGTCCGTTTTCCACAACCTTTGCAAGTTTATGATCCCACCAATTCTTTACTGCTGGCAGGTGGTACTTGTGACATGAGTTCCAGTGAATCATCTGAGCCACAGAGTTGTGTCTTCGTTTGTAGTCCATCTGTGTGATTTTCTTGCAACAGCTGAGGATATGATCCATGGTTTCATCAGCTTCCTTGCACAGTCTGCATTTTGAGTCATCTGCTGATTTTTCAATCCTGGCCTTAATTGCATTGGTGGCTTGCTCCTGGGCTGCAAGAATCAGGCCTTCTGTCTCCTTCTTCAGGGTTCCATTCATGAGCCATAACCAGGACTTCTTGTCAACTCTTCCTTCAATTTTGTCAAGGAACTGCCCATGTAAGGCTTTGTTGTGCCAGCTGTCAGCTCTGGTTTGGAGTGCAGTTTTTTTGTACTGACTTTTTGCTGTGCTTTGAGAAGTTTCCAATTATTGATTTCAGTTAAAGCAGGTTCTTGGCTTTCCTTGACATATTCTGCCAGGGCGTGTTTTTCTTCTTCAACTGCTTGTTTGACTTGTAAAAGTCCTCTGCCCCCAGACTTTCTAGGCAGATAGAGCCGGTCAACATCACTGCGAGGATGTAATGAATTATGAATGGTCATGAGTTTTCTTGTTTTTCTGTCCAAATTGTCAAGTTCTGCCTGTGTCCAGTTTATTAGGATGATTATTGTAATCACACACACAGACTTTGATCTGCTTAGGTTTTTTGTATGTTGTTCTAAAGTCAAAGTAAAAAATGTGTTTTTAAATTTTTATCTTCTATTTTTTTTTCCAAATTAACAACATCCATTTCAACTAAAATACAGATATCGAACTCCTAGCAGCATTTGCAGAAATACATGCCTTAAACAGCACAGTGTGTTGTAGTAATCAGGCTAGGAGTTGAGAGCCCCAGGTTTAAACTCCCGGGCATCCATGAAGCTTATTGGATAGGTCCAATCTTTACTTTAAAATATTTATCAGTCCAGTCGAGACTAAAAATATCTATAAACCACTTGCTTCTCATGATTTCTAAGCGCTGTACAAAGAAATTCAAAACCTACCATAAAGGGAAGGCACATAACTAAAATACAATATTTACTGGTCATTTTTTTCATGTCAGGAGCAACTTGAGTAACTGCAAGTTGCTTCTGGAGTGAAAGAATTGGCTGTCTGCAAGGGAACACTCAGATGTTTTACCATCCAGTGGGAGGCTTCTCTCATGTCCCTGCACAAGAAGTTGGGGCTGACACATGGGAGCTCACCCCGCTCCCCAGAATCGGTCAGCAATCCTTCAGGCACAAGAGTTTAACCCATTGCACAACCCGGGCCATGAAAAAAATAGATTGAGAGAAGGCCTGAACAAACAGATATGGATCTCAACTCTTGCTAAAAGCCAAGATGACTAAACTGAGACTGTGGTGCTCGGGACATATCATGAGACGACAATAACACTTGGTAAAGTAGAAAGGGTGAAAGCGAAATCTGCAAGATCAGAGCAGGACTGTTGATAACAATAGAGGCCTTTCATTGATGGCAACTAATAACAGCAACACAAACCGTTGGAGCATGTTCAATTTCAGACAGGAACATATTTCATACTCCAGGTGCCAAAAAACCAACTGCACCACAATAAATTATTGCAAATCGGACTTCAGGAGCACATCCAATTGTATGATCTGAAGGATGAAATAAGTCTACAGAAAGTCCTTCAGGTAACCAGGTCCCAAGTTGTCTTCAGCTTATTATACATTACAGCAGAGGTCCTCAAACTTTTTAAATGGAGGTCACAGTCCCACAAACTGTTGGAGGACCGGATTATAGTTTGAAAAAAGCATGAATGAATTCCTATGCACACTGCACATATCTTATTTGTAATGTAAAAAACACTTAAAAACAATAATATGTAGAACAATTTTAACAAATATAAACTTATTGGTATTTCAGTGGGAAGTTTGGGCCTGCTTTTGGCTGATGAGATAGGATTGTTGTTGTTGTTGTTGTTGTTGTTGTTGTTGTGCTTTCAAGTCATTTCAGACTTAGGTTGACCCTGAGTGAGGGCCAGGTAAAGGACCTTGGAGGGCCGTATTAGTTTGAGGGCCCCTGCATTACAGGGTTGTTGTGCATCTTGTACACCATTAGGAGTCAAAACGTAATCAACAATCATAGTGGCAGTCATAGTGATAACAGAAAATAAGAAACTTCTGATGAGTACATCCTGTACATTTCAGCATGCTCACAGTTTCCACAGCCAAAGCTATCCTTGTGGCCCAGATTTTACAGAACTCAAGGGAGAGCAGGTCTCCTTCAAGCCCTCCCTTCCCAACCGCAACAAAACTTTGGCATCTCTTTTAACAGCTGTCAGATGTGACTCTCTGGCGAGTGCTTCAAACAACATGGAGCACAGGAACCCTAGCTGATGCGTGCGTTTCCTCTCCTCTCTCTGGATAAGAGCAGAACATTGCCTCCAGTTGGAGTCAAGATGTTTACGGAGAGTGGGCCTCTCCAGGCATTTTGGGAAAGAAAGGGGTTAAGTTTTCCTCTCCATCTCCCAGCCAAATACTCTGAGAGAGAGAATTTGGCATGGCATTTGCTTCATTTCCATAAGGGGAGAGAGAAGAAAACACACACATTCAGGGCTCACACCAAAAGCTTCCAACAGGAAGAACCTTGAAATGAACTTTCCCCAAGTTTTTTTTTCCAGCCGCACACCCACACACCCAAACCCTCAGTTGAGTGCCCAATAAATAAAACCAGGCACCAATTCCCCACTCCTCTCCGCTGCCTTTTCTGAATGCCGCTTGGTGGCATTTAAATCCCCCCGAACAATGGAATGTGTCAGACCGAGGAGGAGAAGTCTGTTTCATCCAGACAGCTTTCATGGGTGTGTGTTTGTTTGCGTTATCAATGGGGGAAAAGAAGAAACTTTCTAAATCCTGATCTCCATTCTGCTTTGCTTTTGAATCTGGGATTGTTCATCCACCTTGAAGATGGGGCCACGACTGGCTGGGTCTCTACCACACTCCTCCTCTCCCCTTCTTTCCACATTCCCCCTTTCTTTACCCCCCTTCCCAAGCAGATCAGGAGAAGGGGAACAAAAGAAGAAAGCAGAGGAGGTAGCCATGGGTCAGAAGTGGGGTGAAGTACATAACAGGCAACAGAGTGTAGTGCTGGGTAGGAGGAAGAGAAGAAAGGAGGGAAAAGAATTGGAGAGGAGGGGGAGAAAGGTGTTTGCCCAACAGTACTGTAAGGCTAGGGCAGAGGAAGGGAAGAAGGGAACAAAAAAAGATGGGAGGAGAGAGAAAGAATTGGAGAGGAGGGGGAGAAAGCAGTACTGTAGGGCTAGGGCAGAGGAAGAGAAGAAGGGAAAGAAAAAAGATGAGAGAGAAAGAATTGGAGAGGAGGGAGGAAAAAGTGTTTGCTCAGCAGTTCTGTAGGACTAAAACAGAGGAAGAGAGGAAAGGAAAGGAAAAGGACGAGAAGAGAAAGAATTAGACAGGAGGGAGGAAAAGGTGTTTGCCCAACAGTACTGTAGGACTAGGGCAGAAGAAGAGAAGATGGGGAAAGAAAAAAAGAAGGGAGGAGAGAGAAATAATGGAGGGATGGAGAAGAAAGAAAGTGTTGTAGGATTATAGGAGTTGGGGAAGAGGGAGAAAGGAATACAAAGAAAGAATATCTGGGTTGCTGTGAGTTTTCTGGGCTGTATGGCCATGTTCCAGAAGCATTCTCTCCTGACATTTCACCCACATCTATGGCAAACCCAATCAATAACTGGGCCATACAGTTTACAGAAAACCTACATACACATATAGATACCTACAAAAAAACCCTCCAACCATCACCCAGGTCAAAAAAGAAGCACAACTAAAGCCCTGGCAGACTCTGCAAAAAGGCCAGCTAATTGCCTCCCAACAAAGGAGTCCTCCAGGCAGTAAGAAGACAGACCTTGAAACTGCTGGGCCATTATATGCTAACCAAGATGGCCAGTCGAAACATCCACACCTACCTCAAACAGACAGGGGAATTCCAGACACGAATCAATCAGGGACAGCTAACACCTCCCAGCAAAGGATTCCCCCAAGCAGCAACCAGCCAGGCTTTGAAGCTGTGTGGCCAAAAAAAGGTGGCCATTTACAATAATCCCACTTGCCTCATGCAGACAAGAGTTCTTTCTCCCACCCTGGACATTCCACAGATATATAAACCTAGTTTCCAACAGACCTCACAACCTCTGGGGATGCCTGCCATAGATGCAGGTGAAACGTCAGGAGAGAACATAGCCATACAGTCCAGGGGTGGCTCAACCCATTACGCAAAGTAAGCATTTGCAATATAGTTTATTATGCGCAGGGGCGCTCTTGAGGCACTCTTGGGGGAAAATAGACCTTGACATATGCGAGTTGTAGTTACTGGGATGTATAGTTCACCTACAATCAAAGAGCATTCTGAACTCCACCAATGATGGAATTGAACCAAATATGGCACACAGAACTCCCATGATGAACAGAAAATATATATCAATGATTTGGGGGGGGGGGAAAATACTGTTTGCTTACCATTGAAAATTACCTAAGACTGCCAGCCCAAAAAACTTAAAGTTGTCCTTTGACAACACATGACCATACAGCCTGAAAAACTCACAACAACCATCTCCTCCAAGGTGAACTGGACCACTTAAACTGGGCGCTACAGGCCAATGGAAACCCCACCACAGACACCAGAAGAGCTGCAAAGCCCTGAGAGTCAGGACAAAGATCCACCCAGTGATTCCAGCCAGGAAAGCCTTGGACAACACAAGGAAGAAAGAGTGAGAGAACTGGAAGAGGGCGAGAAAAAATGGGACATTATGGAGGACAACAAGGGATGGATGGATGRAGAGGAAAGGTGGGGAGGTGACAAAACAGAACCAAAAGAAGGGAGAAGTGTATTGAGGGCTGGGAGGGGAGGAGTAAGGATGGAGAGAATGGTAGCTAGAGGAAAAGAAGGGAAAGTAAAGGGTTTGGAGAGCAAAGGTGGGGTGCGGGGGCGATAAACAGAGCGAAGAAGAACCAAGAGAAGGGGAAAATGGGTTGTGGGATAGGAGAGGCAGGCTCCTAAGGGAGGAGGGATGGGGAGGAAAGAGAAAGTCCGGCTCACCCGGTAGACGTTTTCCGTGAGCCGGTTGACCTCCTCGGAGCGGGACATGATGCCGGGGCAGTGAGCGGCAGGGGCCCGGACGGGGCGGGTGAGGAAGGGGGTGGGGTCGGGGAAAGCGGGGCAAAAGGGGAGGGTCCTAATGGAAGCGGAGCGGGAGGGGGGGTCAACAAGCAGGGGCGGGAGGCAGGCAGGGAAGGAAGGAAGGAAGGAGGCAGGGCTGGAAAGGCCGAGCCAGAGGCAGGATCCAGCTGGAGCCGCGTCCCAGGCGAGGAGACCACACAGAGCTCAGGTGCTAGTCGCCAAATCCCCCAAAGAGCAACATCCAAACTGGGTCTCCAGGAGGAGCCAGGTACACTCTACACCGAAGGCAGTTTGACTCCACTTTCACTGCCCTGGCTCAATGCTAAGGCATCAAAGGAGTCGTGCAAGTTGACGCAAGTTTGACAGCCTTCTCTATGCCCAAGAGTGCAGTCGCCTCACCAAACTACAACTCCCAGGATTCCATAGCATTCATAGCATTCATAGAATCATAGAATCATATAATCAAAGAGTTGGAAGAGACCTCACGGGCCATCCAGTCCAACCCCCTGCCAAGAAGCAGGAATATTGCATTCAAATCACCCCTGAGAGATGGCCATCCAGCCTCTGTTTAAAAGCTTCCAAAGGAGGAGCTTCCACCACACTCCGGGGCAGAGAGTTCCACTGCTGAACGGCTCTCACAGTCAGGAAGTTCTTCCTCATGTTCAGATGGTATCTCCTTTCTTGTAGTTTGAAGCCATTGTTTCACATCCTAGTCTCCAGGGAAGCAGAAAACAAGCTTGCTCCCTACTCCCTGTGACTTCCTCACACATATTTATACTTGGCTATCATGTCTCTTCTCAGCCTTCTCTTCTTCAAGCTAAACATGCCCAGCTCTTTAAGCCGCTCCTCATACAGGCTTGTTCTCCAGACCCTTGATCATTTTAGTCACCCTCCTCTGGACGCATTCCAGCATTTCAATATCTCTCTTGAATTGTGGTGCCCAGAAGCTCAGAAGTCATTGAACATCGAGAATCCCAAAGTGCTCTTCCAGCAGTCACCAGCCAACCCCTCTCCAATGCCAGAAATACAGCTTAATGGTGTAACGTTAGAAAATGTTGACAGTTTCTGCTACTTTGGCAGCCACCTCTCCACAAAAGTCAACATTGACACTGAAATACACTGCCTGAGCTCTGCGAGTGCAGCATTTTTCTGAATGAAGCAGAGAGTTTTGAGGATTGGGACATCTGTAGGGATACTAAGGTTCTTGTTTATAAAGCTATTCTCCTCCCAACCCTGTTATACGCCACATACGCCATATGTCACATGCAACTCCAGCCCCCAGTGGCGCAGTGGGTTAAACCCCTGTGCCGGCAGGACTGAAGACCAACAGGTCGCAGGTTCGAATCCGGGGAGAGGTGGATGAGCTCCCTCTATCAGCTCCAGCTCCTCATGCGGGGACATGAGAGAAGCCTCCCACAAGGATGATAAAACATCAAAATCATCCAGGCATTCCCTGGGCAACGTCCTTGCAGACAGCCAATTCTTTCACAACAGGATGCTCCTGAAATGACAAAACAAAAAAACAAAAAACATGCAACTCCTAGAATGATTCCATCAGCGTTGCCTCTAAAAAAAATCCTGCAAATCTCTTGGGAAGACAAGCGGACAAATGTCAACGTGCTGGAAGAAGCAAAAACCAGCAGCATTGAAGTGATGGTCCTCCGTCATCAACGCCACTGGACCAGCCATGTTCGAATGCCCGACCACCATCTCCCAAAGCAGTTGCTCTACTCCGAACTCAAGAACGGAAAACGGAATGTTGGTGGACAGGAAAAGAGATTCAAAGATGGGCTCAAAGCCAACCTTAAAAACTCTGGCATGGACACTGAGAACTGGAAAGCCCTGGCCCTTGAGCGCTCCAGCTGGAGGTCAGCTGTGACCAGCAGTGCTGCAGAATTTGAAGAGGCACGAATGGAGGGCGAAAGGGAGAAATATGCCAAGAGGAAGGCACATCAAGCCATCCCTGACCGGGAGCGCCTTCCACCTGGAAACCAATGCTCTCACTGCAGGAGAACACGCAGGTCAAGAATAGGGCTCACAGTCACCTATGTACCCACCGCTAGTACAATGATCTTGGAAGACAATCCTACTCAGACAACGAGGGATTGTCTAAGTAAGTAAGTAAGTAACGAGGTGACAAGGGGGTGCTAGAGAGAGAAGGATAGTCCATTTCATGGGGGTAGATCAGGCATGGGCAAACTTGGGCCCTCAGTGGCTGACACCACACAGAGCTCAGATGCAGGGAAGGCAGCCAGACCCTCACCAAATCCCCCAAAGAGCAGCATCCAAACTATGTCTCCAGGAAGAGCCATTCTGTCCATCGGAGGCAGTTTGACACCACTTTCACTGTCTTGGTTCAATGCTAAGGCATCAAAGGAGGCATGCAAGTTGGCACAACTTTGGCAGCCTTCTCTATGCCCAAGAGTGCTGATGCATCACCAAACAAGGAGCCCTGGGCAACGTCCTTGCAGACAGCCTATTCTCTCACAACAGAAGCAACTTGCAGTTTCTCAAGTCGCTCCTGACACAAAAACAAACAAACAAACAAAAACCAAAGAAATTACAACTCCCAGGACTCCATAGCATTGAACCGTAGAAAGATGCATTGATCAACATTTCCCAAACAATTTCAATGGAAAGGAGGGAACCATCGAAATGAACAAAACCTGGCTACCAGTATTTAAAAAAAAAATCTAAAAAAATCAGGACAGTAAACAAAAAGGAACACTCAAAAAGCAGAGGAATTCCAGGCAAGAATCAATCAGGGCCTGCTAACACCTCCCAACAAAGGTTTTCCCCAGGCAGCAACCAGCCAGGCTTTGAAGCTGCCAGGCCATTCAATGCTAATCAAGGTGGCCATTTACAACATTCACACTTGCCCCACCCTAGACATTCCACAGATATATAAACCCACTTGCCTTGTTTCCAACAAACCTCACAACCTCTGATAATGCTTGTCATAGATGTGGGTGAAATGTCAGGAGAGAATGCTTCTGGAACATGGCCGTACAGCTCGGAAAACTCACAATAACCCAATGTTTCCCAGACTTTGGTATTCCTAGTGTTTTGGACTTCAACACCTGAAATCCCTGATCATGGAACAAGTAAGCTTTCAAGGAGGTTTATGCAGCGAATTGCCATTGTTTAAAGTCTGCTTGGGAACATGCAAAATGTGTGGCAGCTACTGTTCCATTATCTAGGTGAAGGCCACAAGGGGGTGCTAGAGAGAGAGAGAGAGAGAGAGAGAGAGAGGGTAGATCAGGCATGGGAAAACAGGAATAGATACCTACCTACATAAAAACTCCAACCATCACCGAAGTCAAAAAAAGAAGCACAATTAAAGCCCTGGCAGACCGTGCAAAAAAAAATCTACGAACCCCACCTTCTCCAAGGTGAACTGAACCACCTCAACTGGGCTCTACAAGCCAATGAAGACTCCACCACAAACATCAGAAGAGCCACAAGACCAAAAACAAGCCACCAGAGTAAAGACAAAGATCCACCCAGAGGAAAAGTGTTCTTACCATACTTCAAGGGAACCACTGACCACATAGGGAAGCTGATGAAGAAACACAGCCTACAAATGATCTATAGACTCATGAAGAAAATCCAACAAATGCTATGTTCAGCAAAGGACATGAGGGATCCCCTCACCTCTGCAGGAGTCTACCGTATACCATGCAGCTGTGGATAAGTCTACAGACCACCAAATGCAGCATTGCCCAAACACGAATCAAAGAACATGAAAAGCACTGTAGACTAATTCAACCAGAGCAATCAGCCATAGCAGAGCACCTGATGAACTAACCTGAACACAGCATATTATTTGAGAACACAGAAATGCTGGACCAATCTAACAACTACAGAGAAGTCATTGATAATTTCAACATAAAGGAGGAAACCATGAAAATGAACAAAATCTAGCTACCAGTATTTTAAAAAACTCTAAAATCAGGACAGTAAACAAAAAGGAACACTCAAAAAGCAGAGGAATTTCAGGCAAGAATCAATCAGGGCCTCCCAACAAAGGATTCCCCCAGGCAGGAAGCAGCCAAGCTTAGAAGCAGTAAAGCCATTCAATGCTATTCAAGGAGGCCAATTGCAACATTCACACTTGCCTCAAGCAGACAAGAGTTCTTTCTCCCATCCTGGACATTATTCCATAGATATATAAACCTCACTTGCCTAGTTTTCAACAGACCCCTCGACCTCTGAGGATGCCTACTATAGATATGGGTGGAATATCAGGACACAATGCTTCTGGAACATGGCCATTCAGCCCGGAAAACTCACAGCAACCCAAAATCCCACATTATCTGCTGTGAACTGGAATATATGGCAGTGTGGACTAGATAATCCAGTTCAAAGCAGATATTGTGGATTATCTGCCTTGATATTCTGGGTTATATAGCTATGTGGAAGGGCCATAAGTTTTCACTCCATTAACTCAGTCTGCCCATCTCTACCCTGAATATCAATAACAAGAATAAGCCGGGACTTCCTTGTTTCAGATTTTGCTGGTAGAGCAATGCCGCTATCTCCAATCCTCCATTCTCAACTGCAGTAAAGAGATAACAGCGAGACAAAGCAGTCTGTTGTAAGGAATACTGAGACTCTTGAAGTGGATGAGATAAATCAAAAGCGTTGGCATAATTGGGCAAATGTCAAGGCCATACCATCCAACATTTCAATTCAGGTATGGCCAAGCAACATTAGAGTGTGGTCAAGATGGCACAAATTATTAATGAGGAAGAAAAGACAAGCTTTGACGGGCTGTAGCAGTTTGCTTTTGCTAGAGCTTACAGAGAAAAGCAAAATTCTTCTCCTTCCACTTCTCTCTACCCTGCTGAGTTCATTGACTGCAGACTGCTTTTGCACTTTGAATTTAGTATGCAGCAATGGAAGTAAGGTAAGAGTAAAGGTAGAAAGGAGGGAGAGAAACTGATAAATTTTAAAAGCTGAATATATGGGATGACAGGTGATTACTCAGGTCAGTTCCAACCTATCTGGGACAGT